ATGGGAATAGTTATACTCACTAGTTGTGAGAGTTCGAGATGTAAAAGCAATAGGCTTTTCCTCGCCGTTCTCCATAACATGGGAGATAACCGCTCCTACCCCATAGCGTGATGCATCACAGGCGAAAGGTTGTTCACATATAACAAGGAGAGAGCAGGTCCAAGTATTGATCCCTGTGGGACTCCTGAGATGAAGGGTAGGTCACGTGATGTCGCGCCTAGTACGGTGACACGTTGGCGCCTGCCATAGAGATACGCGTGACCTCTAGTTCTTGTAGTTGTTCAGGTAGAGGGATTTCGCGTATAGACTTGAACGCAGCGTTCTTGCTTGCGATAAGCACACCACCGGCACGATTGTGAGATCGATCTTCCCTGAACATTATATAATTATCTTTAAGGATCTCAGAATTATCTATGGATTCTTTTAGCCAGGTTTCATTGACGCAGACTACATCCATATCCTCTGAGTACACCAGGTCTTGAAACTGGTGTAGACTGCAGGCGACCGCATTGATCCGTTGCTGTTTACAACTTTCTTTAAGCTCTTCAGGCTCCGTGTGTTTGATACCATACATTTGATAACTGAAATAGATTCTGAGGAGCCCACAGGTCCTGGATGAGAAGCGACGTCACTACAGAGCAGTAGGAGACCGACAACAAAGTTATCGCGGTTAGTGTAGTCACGAGTTGAAAGTGGCTTGAGTTTGATAAGCGGTTTGTCTGCGGGAGTGGGCTTGGAAAACCTCCATAGCTGGAACACACTATTAGAGCTGTAATTAGTGTGATTTGGCGCTGGTGTACTAAGCCAGTGACGGATAAGTATTAGAAAGATCGCAGAGGCCAAACGGACACGGCCGGTCGCCATCTTGGGTGGTGGGTGATATATTTATGGCTCTCAGTTGAGCACACTGAAAAGCGAGGACGAGTGGAATTCTGACCCATAAAGAAACAAAACACATAACGAAATACACTTACACTCTTACGGCCAGAGAAAACTGCTGAGGTAGCAGACTGCGTAAAAGGCCAAGAAACGTAAGAAAAAAACAACACTGAAGATAACTGCGCTTAGTGCATTCCAAAAGAAACTGAAAACTGTATTGCCGAAGTGCAATGTAAAATACGGTTAAATATGCAGAAAAGAAAACTAAAGAAACTCTAAAAGCAGCTAGTGAAGATGAAGAAGCAATGAGACGCTATGGAGGGAACAAAATTAACACAAAGAACAAGACAAAATTTGCGAAAGAAACTAAGGTCATCGAAATTATAAGCTTAATTAACGCACCTGATCACAAAGTGACAATAACAAAACAGCCCAAACACTGTTAAGCTTTACTATTCGAAAGCTATTACCAAGGAAGTTAATACGTCGCGCTCCAGTCAAGACTCATATTATCTTTATGAAAACACTAAGCTCGAGTCTACTGAGTCACAATGCAATTATCTGGCATAGTTAATGCAGCTTCAGTTTAAGCTGCACTCAATTCTTATAATTTTCGACCTGTTAATCACTATCCGTGATAATTTAACATGCCTGCAAAGAAAACTAACAAGCTGGGCCCAGCGTGATACAACATTGCAAAAAAAACCATCTCATTCACGGACTAAAGAAAATCGCTTAGTTATTTAGATCCAAAAGGCACTTTAGAGAAAACTACAACCCTTATTCAACCGTAATAAAATGCTGTCCGCTTCAAAAGAGGTCAATAAAAAGCTCTTGTATCAGAGGGCAAATTCTGCCGACCAGAAACAAAAACCATAGTAAATCGATATGTGCACAATGACCTCTCAGTGTGAAACAAGCGGCCCAGTAAAAATGTAGAACCTTCCAGAGCATAATCTACCTAGCAGAGGAAAAAAAATTATTGGAACAAGCAGCATTTTGGCATGAGGTAAAAGTCGTGTAGGCCTACCACCCCCTTTTATTGCGGCTCGTCCACATCGAATCTTTCGTGTGGCATATCCTTTGATATAGAAGCTTCGCTTCGACTGCTGATGCGAAGACGGCGGTGAAAGTTAAACGCAACGCTTTACAGAATATTCTGAGTTTAGATCAGACGGCGTATTGCCTACATATTGAGCTCCCCAAATAAACTGATCCATTTTGTTTACGAATGTAACGCCACCCCTACATAACACTGCTGACCTCGGATCGTCCTCAGAAATTTTATAGCATTGCCCACAGGTTTTATAAACTTTCAAATACAGATCTTAAGATAAGCCGGCCTTGCTGAATATTCGAAGCATATAGCGAATATCATGAGAACCACCACATAGCCTGCAAACTGGATTTCTCGCAGAAATCTCCGCTGAAGCGGACATGCTTTCCGCCATTTCAATTTCATTATAATGCATAAATTATTTCCATTTGGCCATTTTCTTACATGATTTACCTAAATCAATCAACCAATCAAAATGACGGATTGGCCAGCCGATGCCAGGGCCTTTTCCCGCCCCACCTCCAAAGCCAGGGAAAAGCGCCCTGGGGACGAGGTTGAGTTAATTTTTACGTGCGTGTACACGCACGTAAATTTTACTCGCGTAAATGAAATAGAGGCAACCTATGAGGTGTTTCTCTTAAACGTGAATTAGAGCGAGATCAACTTTTACTTTTACGCGCGATCTTTCATACACTGTTCCTCTTTTATTTGCGAACGTAAATTTTGCACACGTACTCTTGCTAGAATTTCGCGACTGTGGAAATTAACTCTTAGGAGGATGGATAACTTTTTTCAAGTGTCAATACTACCTCCTCTTGAGCATACCCTGTTCCATGTCCTTACAGTCATCTTTAGATTTTTTTAACAAATCAATCATTTTTTTAGAATGTGCTATTTTAGAGGGTTTACAAATGAGTACTATACCTGCAAAATATACTACTTTGACTTTTGATTGAGGCCCGAACCCGAAGATGTTCCTGGCTCTTACACGTACTTCGTATTTGTACGATTCTTCATATTTGTAGACTAGCATGTGTCTGTCGTTAGTTTCTCTCATTTCACCGTCCTCCCAAGGCAAGCCGGGAACTTTATATTCCAATGAATACTCTAGCACAGGCATACCACCATTTTCATCAGGTTGATTCCACGATAGTTTTACAGCAAATGGTGGGTTTTCTTTTCGAAGTAAACTACTCTTTAGGTTGTAAGGAGCAGATGGAGTGCCTGAAAACAGAAAGAAAATGCCACTTCCTTTGCCTCTATATAAAGCTCTGAAGTAAGGTAGAGCCTTCAACATCAAATGGTTGATTTACCTCATCCAAATTGAGGACAAGGTCATACAATGCCGTAAACGTACTACTGTTTATAAGCCCCCTGGTTATAGGGCCATCTAACTGTAAGTAGAAAACACATCCGCTAATAAGGCCCCTCGGATAAAAGCACCTTAAGTTTTCCCTATTTGACTGATATTAAGAACACTCTCAAAAATCTGCACTACTTCAAACAGAAAAACTACTGCAGAACGACAAGATTGTTACACCATTTTCACTTATGTGATTTAATGATACTACAAACATCTTGTCAAGTACACTAAACAGGATTGAAATCAGCGCAGGATCAACTTAACAAGGGGCTATTTCGTGTTAAGTGTTTGTACAAGAAAGATCAGTTCAAATTTAAAGCACGAAGTCTCAGTGCTATATACTGCGCATAACAAATTCTTATAATTGTAGTAAAGATGATCGTAAAGGGTAACGTCTGATCTTATGTCTTATGGTTGTGTTCCAGTGACGTTAACGTGTTAGATTTGATTTGTCTCTAAATGCTGAAATAAATTCTATTAAATATAATTAAATGCCAGTAAATCAACAGTGCCTAGCTCATTTCCAAGCATTTGTATTCATCGGTTATATGCCCCCTCAGATTTTAGCACCCTAACCCCTCCCCGTTTAAAAGCCCACTCGACACCCTTACGAAGCCGTATAATATCAGACAGTGGTGTTTTAAAATCTATAGTTGTAACTTTAAAAAATTTTATAGAATAATGCAAATTTCCATTTACCTCTTTTATGCTGGACATTCAACTTTTAAATGGGCCTGCCGTTATAAATTTTAGAATGCAAGAATGCTAGCGTACAATTTAAGAATTGAAACCCAAAGAATTTTTCTTAGGAAGATGCAGAAAGTTGTTCTAAGAAGTGCCCTTAACAATGCAAGGTCCGTCAAAGTCTTGTGCCAGGCCGAAACACCAGCGATCATAAGTGAAGGACAATATGTCTCTCAATTTCATTCAGTATTATTTTAGATGATGGACGACGGAACATTTCCTGTTGTTAAGGAAATTAATTTACTCT